TCTCCTGACTTCCCGTGAGTTCTGCAGGGCCGGTGCCTTTTCCCTTCCCTGGCTGCTGGGGGAGCCTTTGTGTCTCAGACACAGCATCTCCACTAATCCTCAGAGCAGTGTTAGGAGATCTATAATATCCCCGCCATTTCACAGAAGAGGAAGCGAAGCTCTGAACAGTTAAATGACCTGCCCCAGGTTCGTCAGCAAGAGAAGCAGGACTGGGCCCAGTGTTCTCTGAGAAACCCAAGGCTTGCTCTGATAGAGCAAAGGAGCATTTTCTATTAAGAATATGTGATACGAAAAAAGAGAAAAACGCTCCCGCATTTTCCCCAAGCAAAATGTGTGAAAATATTTTCAAGCATTTCTATGAGCAATTAGAAGAAAATATTTTGAAAGCCCTCAGGCATCCAAGCAGTCCTTAAGAAAGCATCTGCACAAGCTGCAGTGCTCATAGAGTTGGGTTTGGTGCCACAAACACTTGCGGATAACAGATCAATTTCTGTCAAAAATAGTTGTCGACTTCATTATGTACTTCTAGCAAATGGGTAACCGGGACTTGCCCAAACAAATGTACCAAGAGCCTCCTGGGGCCACCCCTGGGTGGGTGCAACTGAGGAACGGTCCCCCGCGGGGTCCTGCCCTGGGCCTCAGGGGTGCCTGTAGAACACAGGCTGTGTGCGTGCCCTTCTCTGCTACTCCTATGACCCTTTTTTTTTTCCTTCTGCAGGAAAGCAAGCCAGAGCAGTGCTTGGCTGGGAAGGGCCACAGTACTGGAGAGCAGCCGTCCCAGCTTGGCGTGGCCACGAGGTACTGTGGGAGTCTTCTCGGGACTTTGCGCTCCTTTCCATGTCCAGGGTCGAGGTGCATGTGCATTGGATGCTGCTTGGGCTCACAAGCCTTGCACCTGGGTTCCAGCCCTGGGTCTGTGGTTCACTCCATGACCCCGACTGATTGACTTCAATTATTTTTCCCATTAATAAAATGGAGGTAATTGCTCCCTCAGATAGCTAATTTGCAAGGTAAATGTGAGCCTTAAATCACAGTCTTGGCATATGATAACCCTCCCTATACAGAAGACGATGATGATGGTAAGTAATAGCCTTAACAATGACATGAAAAAAAGTTTCCCTTCTAAAGGAACCTGCCTTTCTCTATGGTTGAAATATTTACTGGGACCTATGTTGGTACTTTTCTAAATATTGGTATGGATTCCCATGAACTTGGCATAGAAGAGGTTAGATTTGGAAAATATTGATCAGTATTAGTTGTGTTTTATCTTCAGGTTAATCTCTGTGTGAGATTCAAGGGTGACTTCTGAGGGCTGTGCCATCCCTGCTGATGATGATGACAATTTTATGTATCCACACTGAGCGATCTTCACTAATGTCTTCTGCGTGTTACCTCACCTTCACAGTATTCTTGTGCTTGAGAAACCCAGGGTTACATTTCTTATT